AAAAAAAAAAAAAAAAAAAAAGGCACCAGCTATCAAAACAAGCACCAACCTGACTTTCTCCTTTCTTATATTCTAATGAGCAGTCTAATAGAACTATTCTGGGATTTTCAATTCGTCTGCAATGAGAAAAAAATTAATATATACAACAAAAGTGTTATATTGGTGGCTGACAACTCTTACACTCAACATCAAATGCACCACTGTGATAAAAACAATACAAAAGAACCTTTAGAAAGATTAATTTTTTTCAGAGGCACATTAGGATAAAAAAAATTCATGTAACTATGCCAATATGACTTCCAGCTGCCAAGCTTTAAAAAAAAGGTCCCATTAAAATGGAAAGCTAACAAGAAGTTTTAAAAAATAACAAGCCATAAGTCATTTAGATTACTATTTGTCTTTGCCCTCAAATACAGAAAGACAAGGGTGATTGCAAAAAATATGCAACAAGTGATCCTTTGTTGTTCACCAAAACACCTAGCAACACCAAGCCTTTTTCAACACAAACAGTGTTGTACTGCAGACCAAAGAGCATTTTCTCCTCAGCTGAAAAGTTAAGATGAAGTGTGCTGCGGTAATAGCTGTAGTTCTAGCTATGGCATGTGTAGGTTAGTATTTAGTGTCTCTTCATTTATGTTCAATTACATGGTATCAGTTTCTTAAAGCAGATCAATCAGCATTTGGGTTCATTTGCTTAAAATAATGCATGTATTAATTTCTTACATTCAAAGCTGAAAACTCCAATTGCATCCAACACTTAATATACTGCAAAATAGGTTTTTTATCACCACTTGTGTACTGAAAGAAGTAAATTGTTTCTCAAGTTATCTACCTAATGTAACCCTTTGATGAAATGTGGAAACTCCATTCTCACAAGTAGAAAATGTGTTAAATCTCATTAGAATCAATTCACTTATTCCAACATTTGGTGTGCAGTTTTAGTGATACCTGAACCAATTCTAAAGAACTGGCAGCTTTTGCGCAATAACTGAGAATATCATTCTAGTTTCAGGGTCTACAGGGAAATTTTTCCCTGGTGTGACCTGACTGTATCATTGTGATTAATTCTTCCTTAGGTCTAGCAGTCAACTGTTACATTTGCTCTGCCGTTGGTTGTGGAGAAGAAATAGATCTCACTTCAAGTTTAGTCACCATAAGATACTGCACCCATGGTTGTTTTAAAACTAAAGTTATTGCTGGGAGTGGATCTTTAAGTAAGGCATATAATTGATTCTTTTTGGTCATAATGGTAATACAACAAATGGGGCATGTATGACCTCAAATCGCTATATATTTGAACATTCTCATTGCATTCCATAACTGCAACTGAGTGAAAAAAGCAATTTGACTTTATCAAGAAAAAAACATTCATAATGGACTTAAAAAACCAATGATATTTAATTGTCAAATAATTATCTGATTAAACGTATCTACTTTCAGGTTGTGACAACTTGCTCTAGATGACAACCTATTCCATTTAATTTCTCTTGACTTTCAGGTATGACATCCTATGTTCGAGGTTGTAACCAATCTCCTAAAAGTGCCGGCTGCAGCAAGAACTACAATGCAAGTGCTGGGATAGCCACTGTCAGTGGCACCACTTGTTTCTGCACCACAGACCTCTGCAATGCAGGTTCATCTGTGACTGCCACACCATCTATGATCTACGTGTACATATTGTGTACAGCAAAATTTGTCTTTTTAGCTTTAAACTGACTATGGGCTTTGATGGCATGAGCTGTAAATAGTGTGCAAGGCTAATTATTTTAAAGCTAATTTTAAAAACTTATGGTTGCCCACAAGATAGAAAATGCACAGCTTTTTAACGGAATAAAAACATATAAGTATCCCACCTCTTCATCTTTGGGTGAGTAACATCCTTGTTGAGCATCACACCCTTGAGTACTGTGGATTCTTCAATTGTGCCACCTGGGACCTACACAAATAACAGCAATACACAATTACTATGTTTCAAAATCTTTAGTAAAGATATAACTCAGTTCTTTTAAGTACAGTTAGCAATTTCTTTCAGAAAAAGGTATTTGGATAATGAAAAACAAAAACAAAAACAAAAATTCCCACACAGAGGTAATGCAATGTGGAAAACATTGCATGAAAACAACGGAGTATCCACTAATATACTGTGTGATACATACAAAAATACAAGCTTTTTTTTTAGTATAATAGTAAAATAATTAATTTAATTGAGGTAATCACAACTACCACTTGCCACTTACAAGAGAAATTTTGTCACGTGATCAGTTATGTTTTTTGTGTACGTATGGTTGACGATCATTTCGTATATAATTTTCCAAATTGTGTATTCTTTTCTATTTATGAACACTAAATCAATCCTTTTATCCATTGTATTACCTTTGGATGACTTAATTTTACAAAAAGTCTTCAGTTATTTAACTAATAACCATTTGAAAAATTCAATGTGGCAATGATTTTTCTAATATTGGCAAAAACCACAACCATTTTTATTAACTTTTACATACTCCCATCTCCTTTTAAGTCGATTCATGTGAGAGGAAACTTTTTCTACTTTTCCTTTCCACCTTACCTTTTCCACTTTGGCATAGCGTTTAATGTCAATTTCTCTCCTTCCATTTTCTTCAAGAGCCACACATGCTGTAGCATCTAGTGCTATTTCACAAGCTAAATTGGACCTATTTAGATAAAACAAAAGCTATCAGAGGGGGAGGGGAATAAAGTAAATGTTATCACAATGAGCACAGCCTTTTTCGATCATTACCTGTTCTGACAAAATATGTATTACAGAGTTTCTTATTAATGAAAATTGAATCAGAGAGACTGAATTTCAATTATAAATGAAATGCTCTTAAGCTTTAAGAAAGCCTTGACAGAACATTTGCTGTCTTACCATTTCTTAAGAAACTTGGTCCCTATGCAGCTCTGTACAATCTTCATCATTTCAGCCCTGTTACTTATGTCTACTGGAACACTGAAAATTAAAAGTAAACAAACCCAAGATTAAAATAAACCTAGTTTTAAACATTTTGGAGAATTGTATGATTATAACAAATATAACAAATGCCAAGAACCTATGGAATTTTACATAACAATTCAGCAGATTTATATGGCTAACTCCTCCTGTCGGATTTTTTAAAACTTGCCTAGCTTTTTCCCTTAGAATCTCCACCATATCCTCCAGGGCCTGTCTGAAGGCCGATATTATGATGGTCGGGTGCATTTCTTGCAGGAGGAATGGCTCAGCAACTGCTAGCATTTCACCAGCTAAAAAGAGGACAAGAAAGAAAAATAAGAAAATAATCAAAAATACACATTTTTGAAAATGTTGGCAACAGACAAAAAGAGCCCTTCCAAAGTAACTCTTTACTGATCTTCTATCTTATTTGATTCAGAAAAATTTACAAGTTTTACCTAAGATATCTTTCTGAATTTATAAAAATCTCTGAAGGACAAGAGTTTTATGAAGATGTTGCAGCAAGAAGTGCAGTGGCATTTGCTTAAGTAAACTTCCTCATTCACTCACCCAATATGATGACTGATGTGGTCCCGTCTCCCACCTCCTCATCCTGTGTGCGGGCAATCTCAATCATAGACTTAGCTGCAGGATGCTGTACAGTGATCTGAAAGCACCACAGACAAAACAAAGAATTAATGACATAATGAAGTAAGCCTGAAGGCACTTCAGTGGCACTTTATTAAATAATATTTAACACTCAATCTACAGCCATTGATCAGGACTCATGTAACCTGAAAGTCCCTTTCTTACCTCTCTCAGGATTGCATTTCCATCATTTGTCATTACAATGCCTCCCATGGGATCCATCAGCATCTACAGAGAAAAGAAAGAATTATATCTTTGACTGAATTAAGTAGAATAATGTGCTGAGATATCTGGGAAACGGTTTCAATTCAAGGCCCAACTGAATTACAAATCCATCAGGTGTTCAAGGTGACACAAAGGCACAATGGAAATCGGCATTTCTCTAACCATTTTTTTTTTTTGCATTTGTTTCTGTAGTCTTCGCCTTCTATTAAACCTAGCAAGGTTAGTTCAAAAGTTAGAAAATATTGTGTAATACTAATAGGCATCTGTGGAATTGTGCCGTTATGTTTTGAGTAAAACACAAATGCCTCAACATAAGTTTTCTTTGGTTTTTAACCAAAAATTATTTGCAAGATAAGACACCGTTCTCCTATCTGACCTAACAAGAATGTAACTGAGAAAAGACACAAAACCCAGGACAAAGCTCCCATCAATTATGCATCATGTCACTTCATCAGATGTAAGCAAAATCAATACACAAAAAGGACCCATCATTCCCAAGGCTTTCTGTTATCTTATCTCTGGCAAAGAGAGAAACACAAACACAACTTTGAGAATGAAACAGGAAAAAGTCGTTTTAATCAAATGTATTTGCAGACCACATCATCATCATTTATCACAGACCAGAATTTACTGCAACCCAAGAGTGGACCATCTATCAATAGAACAGCCACTTGGGATTCAATGGCTGATGAATAGACACTGGTGAATTCAGTCTCCGATATCAGTACAATAAAGCCATGCTCATTGAATAAACAGCCTGTTCTGCCTTGTGCCAGCAGAAAAAAAAAACTAAATTTGCAGGGCAAGAGGCATTCCCTTGCTACCAGACCTTATCAATTCTTGAACAAGAGGAGAAGCACAAAAGCAATGCTGTGTGGCTGCCAGAGACGATATGAAGGTAAAGAATATTAGATAAAAATTTAATGTTTTGACTGTGTGTACTTTCTGTGGCAGGTAAAGTGACAATAACAGGATTTATTACAGCACAAATTCTGATAAATCCTACAGGGGGTTGCCAACCCATATCATTTTTAAACTGGGGCCCAAAACCTTTTAATTATATATTCCTCTACAACTCTTATGGAAACTTGGTTTAGAACTGACTGTAAGCTTTTTTCATGATGTCTTCAATGTACAAGAGTCTGTAAGATGGAAATGATCACATTATATGTTGAACTTTGCCTAATATTCTAATTCAATGAAGTTAACAAATTGTTTGAAGAGTTCTCCTTTAAATAACATGTTTTATACTAAAATGTAAATACTAAGATTTTCTATATTTGTTTCTTTTTGTCATTATTACAGCCAGAGATAAGCAGTCTTAACTGAAATTCAATTTAAAAAATAAGATAAAACTACAGATGCATGAATGGAAAACATCTGATTCTTAAAACTTCCTTGAAAAAGAATATTTTTCAAAATGTCACAGAGAAACTATTAAATGTCTGACCTAAAAGCATAAATGTGATGACTGCACTGCCGTATAATATATTATTGAACAGGTTTCCAAGGAAACGCATAACTACGTATCTAAGATAATATCAGAGTTAAAAGCAGGTAACAAACTTAGATAAGGATTTTGAGCCATTAAGAATGCAAGCCTGTAGTTCTATTTTATCATCTTCTTAATTCTCAATGCAAATTGCAAGAAATTGACAAGAAACCCGTCTACAGCACTTGATTCTTTTATCTAGATGGAACTAAAATCAGAATATTAGGGGAAAAAAGATGGGGGCATCTGTTAATCTTCTCTCTAATTACTTCCCAGTGGGTTAAAATACAATAAACTGCCAAACATGCAATGAATAGGGAGTTCTAAATGTACAATTCTCTGCTTCCTGTATTCCCTCTCACTTTTCCCACTTCCCAAGCATTTTTCTGCATAATCATCAACAATCAAATATAACCAATGATCATTTAAGTGTAGCAAGTCGATAGCTTGATTTAAAGGTTAACATCAAAAATGCACAGTTGGGAATCTTAAACAAACAAGGTTAAATCAGGTTTCAAATAAATAGGTGCTTTGTGGCATATAAAATACTGATCACAGCTTTCAAATGGTGAAACATTTGGGGCATATTCATTATGAACTATTATGTATTGTTGCAGATCAATTATTTAGGTTCTTGCACTGAAATGTCGATATTTATGATAACTGAAGTTCTGAACACATACTTCATGCCATTCAAACAATCCACACCAACTAGACTGGATATAAGGCACAGAGTCTGAAAATTTCCCCCTTTATTCCAATTTAAACCCCAATAAATATGAAAATTCAAGAACAAGTAATAAGGCATATTAAAATATGAGAAACTTTTTTCTGTTAGTGCAGCAAAATTTCAATGACATGATATGGAACATGTATTTGTTTACATCATGAAAAAATTAAATTAAGGTGATTTAAGGCAGAACAGGCAGCATGGCATACACCCGTTCAAAAAATAATTATAACAGAAATTAGGAAAGGATCAGACCAGGGAAATTAATCAACAGTTTTCCTTTCGGTCCTTTAAAATTCTTGATGTTGCAGGTTCAAATGTCCAGTGGAAATGTCCACATATATATATAAAGAAAAAAATTTAATCTGATTGTTGATAGTGCAATGTACTATATCTAACTAGTGATGGGTGAGCAAAAATGTTTGGTAATACAGCTCGAAAATAACCATACAGAAGCAGACCAATTCTAAACATGTACAGCTATCTACAAATAATGAGTGTGAAACTTATCACAACTAGTTGCGCATTTTTCCACTTGGTTAAGCCATGGATATTTCTTCAAGTAACAATTATATCAGGGTGCTACACCCAGGTGAAAAATGGTTAGACCAGTTGATAAGAAAAAGAAGAGGCCAGAGAGATTATTTAATAATGCATGGTCAGGACAACCTTGGCTAATATACAATCAAGCAGCTAATTTCAAGTGCATGTACTATTTTGCAGCACTGGGGAAATCTACATCAGACCCCAATGCTAACAGTAATGGCTTCCTCAATACAGGAAGTATGAGCTTCAGGAGATCGACTGTCAATGATCGCAAAACAAGCAATATGCACATGTAGGGAGCAGCTGCCTTTATGGCAGGGTGCCTCTTAAAGGTAACCTTAAAGTCTTGGCTATGTGTCTTTTTCTTCATAATTATGACGATGTCAAACCATTTTAGCTTTAATGAAGGATCACTGGAGTGACTTAAACACTTTGTGGTAGAGGATAGATTTTAATATGAGAAAGTATCCCAATATATTTCAGAAGAGTTATTATTCTTTCAGGGCAGAACTTTAATTGTAAACTGAAATTGCAAAACAGCTGATGATTATCCTAAATAAAATTTATCATTAAAAACAGTCTTTGTTCTTTTGCTATTTACCTATGCACAAACAATAGGATTAATTTAATTTTGCTTTGTTTTGGACAGACAAGAATGCTTTGGCCGGGATAACTTTCATATGTGTCCGGACATTTGTCCAGATGATTTAACAACTTTTGGAATCTCTGTAATAATAAACAGTGTTCTTGTTACTGTCTGTAATAGTATTCTGTTCTTTCTCTTTGTTCATCATTTTAATCATCAAGAGGGTTAAAATAAAATTGTTGTTACAAACAATGTTGAACTTACCTTTAACATGGCCCTGGGCCCAAGACATGTCCTTATCACATCAGCGATGGTCTAAAATTTGAAGATGTTTAATTGCAATAAAGCACCTTCAATCACAACTAATAAAACAAGTTCATTTATCTTTTCATTTATCTTTTCATATATTTTCAATAGGCAATCTACGTAACATCTTGATCTTAATGCAATCGAATCAACATTTTAACAGCCTATGCAACGTTAACATGTAGATACAAATACCTAAGATCGCCGAATTAGAATAAGGGCTTGAAAATGACAGTCAGACTATTACATTACCAGTCGCACTGTCAAATCGACTATTCTCACGAATTAGTTTCAAATACACATTATTTCACAAAGTCATAATCAAAACTGAGATACGAACGAGCAGGAAAGATATGAAAGAAATTCGCAATGGGAGAGTTAAAAAGAAAATATATAACGATCTAAAAGTTCTAGGCGTTTCTAAGGAGCCAGCACGTGTTGGACTAATTTACCTTCGCAGCCTTCACATTTCCGAGCTGAACTTTACGCCCTTGTTCTCTCTTTGTGTTTTGATCTGCAACGAAACATATAGTTAAAAGTTTGAAGAATAGAACTGAAAAATTCAATTTCGAACTTTAAGTTATAAACAATGCATACTTAGCACTAAAATCGGTGCTCCCCCTGATCCCATCATCTTCACGCTATCATCCAAGATGGCGGCCGTAGAAATAATGTCAAGCTCCACTGAAGAGATGCCATGCGCAGACAAATAAAAAGGAAATAATCTAACCTAAAGATAAATCTAAAGATATAATCTAGATTTCCCTATGAGAATATTGTTTTATTTTCCACATATAACTGGCAATAATCTGCCCATTGCTTTGATTAGATAATTTTTCAAACATTACGGTATGCTAAGGTATTCCGTTTTTCGCAGCTTAGCCCTAATCGACTCCGTAGGGTAGCATATACTGCCCTCTATCGACATGGATGTATTATTGAAAGAATTACACAGAGTTAGTCATGTGTACCTGGTTAAGTCCAAACGTAGGATGAGCGTACCTAGATAACGAATACTACAACATGGAGATAGAATCTGAGAGAAGTATCTCAAGGGCTTCTGTTTCTACTAAAATGTCGACACAGCACCTAAGCGTGGTTGAGGTACTTGTGAATGGGACCACATCCATGGGTGAGTTGGAAGTTTTGACTACGGTTTCTGTCAAAACAAAAGTTTCCAACCTGTTGTTTTATGACCTCGTAGGCCCCCCCAGTGTTATAAAAAGAGCAGTACTGTATTAGAATTATGGTTGTTCAAATGATAACTTGCTCTACTCTACAGAGGTAAATGAAAAATAGAATTGTCATTAAAACTAAAAGTTCATAATGTTTTTTATTATATATCTTAGATATATAATTTTATATTAATAATTAGTGTTAAAAAATACAGAAAATAAGAGTTTTACAGTATTGGGTCATTTAAGGTTATTATGATTTTTTAAAATTGAAATCGTTGCAAAGGCTCCATAGTGCTCATTGTTTTGTTTTAATCAATAGTTTACTTATGAAAAATATATATGATTACTTGATTTGATTTTGATATACTTAATTGGCTTATGAATGATATAAATTCTAAATACTGAACAATGGTAAGAAAGTGGAAATTTGTAATGCTGCCAAAAGGCTCAAAACATTTAAATCCAATTGTTTTGAAGTGTCCAAGTGTCCATTTTTAGTCAATGTTTATTAAATTATATTAGGATATATATATATATATATATATATATATATATATATATATATATATATATATATATATATATATATGTTATTATTATTATTATTATTATAATTTTTCAATTCTTATGTCTCTATTTAACATATGGTTTTTATTTCACGGTGTTTAGGTAATGTTTCAGTAATGGAAACATTATCCATGCGCAACAAACTCTTAATTGTTGAAATGATCATGCACTCTTAAAGATGCATATTAAGCAATTATGTGTGTCAAATTTTTGCCATAATAGTTTTCTGAAAAGTGGTATTTGCACATACATATTCTGCTTACCCTCTGTGCTTTACACTGGGGGGGGGGGGGGGGGGGGGTGAATAAGAAGGTCAGATTAAGGACCAAAATTTTTTCTTCTTTTTATGCTGCCCAAGAGATTAATCTAAATAGTTGTTTTTTATATTTGTGTAGTGTAAAAAAATAGACACTAAAGATGTATAGAAATTTCAGACATGTACTCTCTCTTCATACGTAGCTTCAAGGAAATTATGGATAAACATTTCTAAATTGAAATGAAAATTGTCCAGGATGTATTTTGTCAAAGCCATTAACCCCAAGAATGTGACCCAGTTCCATTTAATGACCTATATCTGATGACATGAAACCCAGGAAGAATATTATTCTTCTGACAAGATTGCTAGTGACTAATCACATAGCCAAAATATAGTGGAGAGTGGACCATGGGGAGTAGGGTCATCGGATTAACCTTTGTGAGTCAGCTTATTCTCATATAAAAGCAGACTAGCCAACCCTCCCAGTGTTGTTGGGATTCTCCCAGTTTGGGGATATATCCCCCATCTCCCAATTCAAAATAAAATTATCCCAATCTGTTAGACCTACCTCTCTTTCCGTTTGCTACAATGTGCAGTGACTTTGTTCACGAAAATGTGCCAACACCTAACCATTGCTCTGTTAACTTCATAGACAGAGGGTAATGATTGAAGTAAACAGGAAGAAATGCTAAAGACAAAACCATGTTGGGTCTTTGTGTGAGTACCATCCTGAACATTTAATTTAAACAGCTAATTGAATTCTTGAAACTTACATTGAAAGATTTTATAAATTGAAATTTAACAAATTCCTTACTTTGCCAATTTGATTTTTCTGTTATTTTGTGTAGTCAGAGCATTTGATTATAGCAAACATTTCTAAAGAAAAAAAATGAGGCGTTACTTTTGAAAGCATTAAAAAACATTTTAATAAAAAGTAGTAACTTTTTTTTTTGTAAAGTTGGGTATGTGTCAAGGTGGGAGATGTAGGGTATGCGAGGGCATCTCCCTCTTTGGCAGTTGTCAATGTTGACAGGTATGTTAAAAGTAATAAATTTTAGAACTATTGTCCTTGTTCATCTATTGTCTATGATGCAGGGAAGGACCCTCAAGTATACAATGATATTCCTCATATTATTGAGGAAATAACTTAGGCTTTTCCTCATGTTGTAAATAACTAAAGCAAAGATTTGTCCCAGTGTATATACCTTTACAATGTGAAGAATAGAGGAAACTAAGGGGCTGAATTTGAACTCAGTTTGTTTTATAGTACAATATTGCACTAGGAAGGATTTTGTTTTGCTATATTTTATAAAGGATGGTATCATCCAATAAATATTAATTTCATTATATCATTTATTAATGTTAATGACACGCTTAATATAAACTGGACTACAAATGGCTTTTCTACATTACATAGTGAGAAGTGAATAATTTACAAAGGCTTTATGTAATCATTCATACCTGTGATGTCATTTTTAAAAGAAGACATCTTGAAAACCTCCCAAAATATATGCCACTATTTGATTGCAAAATCAAATTTTTGTCATGATACAGGTGTTGAGATTTTAAAATTGCAGTCAATATCATATCCAATTTGCAAGGCAACTACACCAAGTGACACTCTGTTGGAGGAAATAAGTATACCTGCATCTTTGTTACTAATTTAAAGAGTCCTATTTTTTAAACTGTTCAGCTACATTCAGGTGAACCAACGTACTAGCTGGATCGATCCAAGTCTGTGGGGGATTCTCGCTAAAGTGCATTCAGTGTAATAAGCTTAATTGGCTGACATGCCTCTTCAAGTGAAAGAGTTTCCTAGAGCTGAGGGTGCACAACAGTTAATTATCCCCTTTGATAGTTGAGGAGGTGTGTCAGACAATTAAGCTAGTTACATTGGTTGCACCTAAGCAAGAATTCCCAAATAGTTGGATCAATCCAGCTAGTACGATGGGTTTATCTAAATGCGGTCTCCATCAGTAAACAATTATACATGTACAGTGCAACACCTAGCAAGGGCACAAGCATTGCTATGTAGTAACATACTGGTAGAGAATAAAAATATTTACATCTCTCTATGAGACCTTAAAATATAAATTAATACTCATCGAGTTCCATCAAATTTACATCCCTAATTATATACTGTGACCACAAAATTGATCTTTTCAAGGCTTATCTACAACATGCACAAGCAGGAACAGTAAAGCAAATCAATATTGAAGTTAATGATTTAGATCTTGGCTTTTTAGGACAGATACAGTTTTATTACAGGGTGCTTTCAATTCAGAATTCATTTCATGCAGCATGTGTAAGCAGTATTAGGCCCCTATCCCATAGACACCATAGATGTAACAGGCCCGTAGCCAGGGGGGGTTCGGGGGGTTCGAAAGAACCGCCCCTTTTGTCAGGAAAAGGTCCATTTTAGGTAAAAATTTATCTACATACACATAAAGTTTCATTGAAAAGGTCCACTTTTTCAGAAAAAGAACCCCCCTTTTGAATTTGCTGGCTACGGGCCTGTGTAAGTAGATTGACCCAACTCAATCTGCAGGGGCTCCCACTGAATCAGGCCTACCCAACTACCAGACTCGGCACCGAATGATCCCGAATTCACAGTAGATCAACGGTGTGTCGTCTGATACTTTGAAGCACGTATTGACACACACTTTGAAAACGGGTAGTGTGGTCCAATCTACTGGTGAATTCAGGATCATTTGATGCCGAGTCTGGTAGTTGGGTAGGCCTGTGAATTAGCACGAAAATTCATGCATTAGCACTCCTATTGATGAGCACAGACAGTACGTATCAGAATCGTCAATAGGAGTGCTAACGCATGAATTTTTGTGCTAGCCTGTGAATGTAATCAGTTTAACAGATTAACACACCTCCTTCTGCTCTTTAATAGAGTAGAGAAAAGCTGGTGATTATACAAGTATATTGGAAACAAGTGGAGACATGTCATTCAGTTAACCTGATTGCACTCAGCAAGAGTCTTCACAGAGTTGGGTTGATGCACTTAGGGTGCATTCCCAGAGATTTAGATCGATCCAGAGATTTAGATTTAGATCGACCTAACTCCCTGGGGGTTCACGCTAAATTGCAGTCAGCCGAGCGCCGAGCATAGTTAATTACCCCCTTACAGCTTTTAGTAGGCCGGACAGACGCTTAAGCTGGCTAAGCTGACAGTAATCTAGTGAGACTCCCCACAGGGATAGATCGATCTAAAACTATGGGAATGGGGTCTTAGACCAATGGTGTCTAGAGGGAATGGGGTCTAATAAGAAAAGCATGATAACTGAGTCTGACAGCAGTACAAATTCCTGCCAAAAGATCAGTGGAAGTATGTGTTAAATGATGTTATTGAGTGGCTGACACAGATGTTGCATTTTGCCTTATCATATTAGTTTAATTATCAACAGATTGTCATTATAGTTACTAGTCTCTGTGTCATGTAAGGCTCCTTGCCAATAAAGTACTAGTAGAAAAGGCAGAAGTCTCAGCCAGATGTGTACTATAATTGTAAATTAGCTCACTACAGTACAGAGAGCTTAATGTTATCCTCTGTTGCCACATACAATCCCATGCCCACCTTAAATAATCATAATGGTGATTATTGAGCATAGAAACATACAATTTATGCATGTTTTGGCATTCTGCACTACATTTGGCATTTAACAATAACATAAACGGTGACAATTGGGTGTGCTTGCAGCTATGATATCTGCTTATACCAACAGATCCACATCATATCTTTCAGAGATATTATCTTGAAGTTTCCCAGCAAAAAATTACAAGTTAGGTCTGATAAAATAGATAAGTTGGTTAATTAGTCTCAGCTTTCTGTAAACAGGGTTGGTAGATGGACTGTAATTTATATTTGATTATATTATTTTTACAATGGTTGTTTAACAAGAAAATATCAGGGTTGGTTGGCTTTTTTAAAAATCATTTTATTTTTTTAAGGGAGAGAAAAGAGGGGAGGGGGAATATCAATTTTTGAACATGAAAACAAAGAACAACAGCATCCAGAATCTTTTCCTATGGTCATTTGTAAAGATTTACCACACACTAAAACAATGCCCTATTTTTTAATTAAAAAATTTGTTTGAAAAAAAAAAATTGATTACCTCAAAG